CATGAATAATAAGATAGGAGTGTGGGAGATGTTCCCGATATGCGGTTGGTACATGATGTGATATCAGTTAGAGGAGCAGATTCGACTCTACTTAAAGAGTAGCACCCATTACTTGGAGAGTAAAATTTTGTGATTGCCCTTGTGCTCTAAAATACAGTTATCCACATAAGCCTACTCTTGTTTTCTTACTCTCCTTTGAATTTTGTGGATTTTTCATTAAAAACCTTAAAAAGAAAAAAGAAACATGAACTACTCACAACCAATTCAGTTTTCCTTTTATTCGGAAACCTATAATCACTCTCCTGTAAAACATGGTCATCTTTTAATACCAGCCCATGCATCAAGGGGCTCTTCTAGTATTTATTCTTATTTAAAAGCTAAAAAAAAGACCTTTAAAACATGCTAAGTAAACCTTATTAAACATGAACCAATGAAAAATAAACAGATTTTAACGTAATTGATTACTATCTAAATTTAACATGCAGGCATATTAGTGAATGTACTGTGATTAATTTTAGGGTTTGATTTTGATGTGCATTCAGCTTCAAAAAAAAAAAGAAAAGAAAAAAACTGTTTGATTTATGAAAACAGCATCCATTAAATGGTTCCATTAGTCAATTATCATGCATTTGATATAAATATATTTTCATTTTGCAAATTAAATACATATCTCGTGTGTGCGTGTGTGAGAGAGATGCAAAGTAGGTCATTTTACAAGCATGGTAGGATGGGATCATAAATTTGATTTATTTGAAAAAACACAAAAGAGGCATGACTTAAATAATGGGCTTTGGGCTTGGTTAATAACTCTACATTTAGTATGTGTTTGGTTCTATGGGCATTTATTGATGGGGTGTTTATCAAATAAACTAAGGTTTTTAAAATCGGACCGGGTAGGAAATCATTCTGGGGTCCAATTCCTGGGTCAAATGGTCCAACCGTCCGGTCTGAATGGACAGCCTGCTCTGACAGAAAACAGAAAACCAAAAAATATAAAAAACCCAAAACAGCCAAAAACCGTTCCCAGGTCAAAAGGTTCAATGGTCTGACCGCTTAGGTCAGCGGTTCGCTGACTAAATCAGCGGTTTTGGGGTTAAACAAAACCGGTCAAGTGACCATTTTCCAATTTTTCTGGTTCGGTCTGGTTTTGAAAACAGTGAGATAAATGCTTAGTTGAAAAAATACTACTTTAAACATTTATTGTTTTTATTGTTTGGTTGAACATTTTATGGACGTTTCAAATAACACACCATAAAGTTACTTTCCACTTCAGTTTAAAGTGTACCATATAAACATTTCGTTTCAATAAATGCCTAAGCGTTGGGAGAAATAAGAATTTGGAATTTTCTCCAATAAAGTTAAAGCAATTCTATTTTTCAGTGTTTAAAATAAATGGCAACACCTATATGGTGCTAATGTGGTGACGTTTTTCAATAAACGTCCACAATACTAAACATAGCCTTAAGAGTTCTGGACTCTTTCGGCTAAAAGAAACCAAAGTAAAGAATAAAGGATATATATAACTAGATCTTTCTCTTGTTGACCAAACTATAGAAACTTCTCAGTTTGGTTTAGGGTTTAGAGAAAGAAGTCATGTTGTTGTAGAAAGAAAGGGTAGATCACATGGCCATGTAGGCATCAATGTGTGGTTAGCCTTAATAAAGAAACCAACAAACGTCCACCAATCAGAGTTGGCAAAGGGCTGAAAAGAAACATAGATTGAGCCAAGCTAGATGTAAAGTAGAAGCCATCATGAGTGATAAGAGAAATGGGGAAAGGGCTACCTTTATGAAATTTCTAGGAGATTTCCAGGGAGAAAAAGCAGTGCTCCACATGCTCTGTCTACTGAAGCTCAGCTGTTGGCCTCTCACTACTACTACCCAATACCCATCAAGGAGCAAGTGTTTGTTTCATCCTCTGATCAGTGGACCAACGTGGGGATTAATTTAATCTTGAAGCCACACAGCAGACTTGGATTGTTAATTAAACTTATGGGCTTGATCCATGAAACAGAGGTCTGAGATGGAATGACAACTGGGCCAGTGAGATTGATCAGAACGGTTTTGCCACATGCACAGCACAAGGCCCAAAAGGCATGTGAGGAGGGGGGCTTACAGGTTACAAGAAGAAGGAGAATATAATATTATATGTTGAGAAGGATGCATGGATGATTAGAAACAGGAGTCAATACAATACCTACTCAGTGTCACTAACAAATTTCAACTTTTTTACTTTAAAAATGAAATGTCAAATCACTTTTACCTATTTTATATTTCTACTTTTAGCTTTCATGATTAATTAAAGGGAAAGCAAAATCACACGACTTGGGCACTTTTGTCATTGGAACATGTTTTCCGGTGAAATCACTTGGGTCTTGGTCTTAGTCAAACAAGTAAACCCAAATCATTCCATCTGGTGTGTTGGGTTTCCCTAACCCTAAGCACAGATCAATGTTTTATTTTATTTAGGTTACTTTTCTTAGCAAAGAAACCTAATAATTGAATCTGCTACCACAAGACACTACAGCTTCTCATCCTAACCCAGACTCCCTACGAGGCTATGATCATTTATTATCATATTGCTTTCACTCTCGTGAATGCAATTGTCATTTTAGGCTGTGTTTGGTTGCACTACAAATTTATTTGTATTAGTATAAATATATAAAAATGAAAATGTAAAAAAGTGTAAATTCTTGTTTAATTTTATTTTGGATTTTACTTTCTTCTGTCACATGTCTTAATTTACTTCATTTGTACTGCAATCAACCAAAATAAATTAAAATTTGAAACAGAAATGTCAGAATTTACACTGTCATGATTTTGTATCAACACAAACTTATTTGTATTGCAACCAAATACAGACTTAGCACTCATTCGGTATAACCCCAGAACACATATTTGTATTTGTACTGTACATATCCGTATATCGTCTATATTTGTATTTCAAAAACTCTTATTTGCACTGGATATATTTATATTTGTACTTTTAAATCTGATCATTTAGACTCTGTTTGGAAGGAATACAAATGTAAATATGTACAGTACAAATACATACAAAATATAAGGTTTTGCACTCTACAAATTTGTATTTGTACTGCTTCCAAACTGAGCCTTAAGATACACCAAAGAAGATTATATAAACTCTAACAATATATCGATGACACAAAAATTGATGACTCAAAATGATTATAAATAAAGCATAAACACATAAGAAAGTAAGAAAGAAAACCATGGTTTATGTGATGTTTAAACTGTTACTGGCTACTGTTAGTCTGTTACAGTATTAGGGCTCTCAACCGTCCGGGTCTGGTTCAGGATAGGGTAGTATCGTTCCGAACCGATTGTTAAAATTGATAGTACTGGAACTGAATTAGACCTGTTCGGTATTATTTCAAAACTGGTACCGAACCATTTAGTAATCAGGACAATCAGGTCTAACCCAATTGGACCCAATTAACCGGAAAATGGAATAGGTTTTAGGTTTTAAACTTGCCTAAAATTACAATGTTAGATATACAAAATACTTATATTACATGTAACATAACAAAATATGTAAAATATAATAGGTATATATAATCGGTTCAGGTCTTGCACTTATGATAAGGGCTATAGTTTAGGCCCGGGATTCCAGGCTTGAAACATAAGCCCTAGCCCAGGTCTATATGGGGTCGGGCCTGATTCCGAGCCAATGTCACTCATATATAAAACGTTATATATCTATATATTAAATGTCATAACATGCATATGAACTTATTTTATATATTATATAATATAAATTATACATGTCATATTATAATATTTATATGTAAAATATATAATATAATGTAAAATAACATGTATGCATATGTATACATTATACATAAAATGTGTAAATTTAAATATATGCAAGCCAAGTCAGACCTAAACACAAAACCCAGGCCAAAGCCCAAAACTTCCGAACCAAACTGAAATGATCACCCCTATTAACAAGCCTATAAAACATTGAAAATGGTAGAATTAAAATATACAAGATTTATCGATACATGCAGACTGATACGTATTGATTTTTGGTGTAACAAATTAGTGGAGCAGGTGGAATGACCGAAACTCAATTTATTTTTTCCACCTGTATCCAACTACTCAATTTATAATCATATAAGTCTTGGATGTACTATTATTAACGTATCATTGGAGTTTTTCTAGCGCATCAATATGCATATTCTAATTTTTTTACTATATTCAAGAGGTATATCCTGAATTGTTTTTCATAAATGAAAAACCTTCCGAATCCAATATAAACAATCTCTCCTTTTTAAATATTCTGATTGACATGAAACAACCAATAGAAAGACAATAAATGTAACCATTACGCAGTATTTATATTTTCATTCAAATCCATGTGAGATTTTTTATTGGTTATATCTCAGAATTTAAGGCTTTACCACATTGTTGGTGTAATTGGAGACTATTCTTGTTTGTTATGCAAATGACCTGGGTGGCTGGGTTCCACCTCCAACAATAGAAAATAATTGTCGTGATATAAATTACAGCAATTAACAAGAAAGGGAATTGAAATTAAAAATAGGGCCTGTCTGGTTCAAGGGAATAGGGATCTAGAATTGGAATCAGAATGGGCCATTCCAATTCCAACTGTTTCATTGGGCAAAATCAGAACTCCATTTCCATCCTTGGTGGAATGACATTCCCCCCATTTAAGGGAATAGCCATTCCCTCCTCCCTTGGGAATAAAATCTTATTCCAATTAATTCCAATTCCCATTCTAATTCCTATTTCGACTAAACAGACTATGAAAATAGACCATCCCGATTCCAATTCGAAGATTTTGATTCCGATTCAAACTGTGAGCCAAATGGACCTTTAATAGCTGTTAAGTATCAGAGTTAATTAAGTATAGATACTTGTCTATTAATACTCCAATAAGCATAGATACTTTGAACCTTGATCTTAATTGTTAAGTGAATCGGCATAAGGTACTGAGAAGGAAGAGAAATAGACAAGATATTGAACAAAAAAAGATGGCATTTCTTATCTGTCACTAAAATCATACACTTACAGATGCCATTTGGCAAAGCAGTGCTCCCCTGACGTACATGTCAATTTGGTAATACAATCTCTTAACCCACGTCATAGGTGAGGTGCTATTAATTTTAAGCACWAGGTTGGAAATAACCATTCTCCTGGACAAAGCAACAAGAAAAATTGATAAAACGTCTCCTCATGTACAATCCACCTATTAGTCTTGCCTTTGGTCCCACTTAAATTGGACCCATGACCCATCAAGACCTTAAAGCCGTAACGCTGTAACAGCTAAACTTTCGTCTCACCTTTCACCTCCCTGTCTGGAACTCTGGATGAAGAAACTCTGCCCAAGCACTAGACAAATGAGTTATAAGAGCCAAAACCTCTGGGGAGGATACCAGATCAAGTTAGTACAAATCAGCTTATGCTAGCTGCATCATTTCTGTACTGCTCAACTGGTGGAGGAAGAAGAAGAGCAAGCCTTTGTTTGTAACGCGCAATCCGTTGTAGCCGTTCTTCTCTTAATCTGCAGCCATATCAAACGATACCAAGTTACGGAATTTCTGCAAAATGAATACTAAGCTACAATCCTATGAAGGTCTCTTAAAGACCAGTTGAAGAGACACAGAATCCATGATGATCAATTCCATAAAGATGATTAGCAAATATATAGTAGCATCTCATACACCTAGTCTCTTTGCATGATTAGTTTCACAAGGCTCAGTTCTAAGAAGAAATACGCTAAATAGGTTCACAACTCTTAACATCAAACTCTAGCTATTAGCAGCTATTGAATGCAATACAACAAATATCCATTAATGTTTTCTTCCCTTTCCTCACAGTATCAATATTAAGAATGGCATCAGTCATGCCAAAAATTTTATTTGTCATCTTGCTTCAAATTTCATTATTGCATTTCTAAAGAACTAAACATATTGAGGAGATACTGTGCAATGATTCACATCAACAGATGAACCTACCTAGCCCGAACTTTTTTAGCATGTTTTACATGTCTCTGCAACAATTCCTGGGCAGATAATTCCTCTACAGAACCTTCATCCTGGAAACAAATAAAACAAAGTAAATAGAATCACAAATTCTTTTACATGTTTGGAGAGTATATATCAACGTAAAAGGACATTCAATTCTGTGTAAAAGTACTAATAGAAGCTATGAGAACTATTTTGATGTCAGAAGGTACAATTACCATGAACAGAAGAAATAAAATTAATGTTATACCCACTCAAATTATAGAAGAAGAATTGAGATACCGTGATAAAGAAAGTAGCTCAAACTACATTGTCTACATCTTGCAGTTACGTATTAAGGAAATAGACAATTGAATATTTGATCCCTGGTATTATTATATTGTTGAAGGGGTATTTCAGTATTTTCAGCATCGTATAAATAGCATGAAAAGGGCAGAATGCTCCATCTAGTTGTGCTCTCTTATTCAAGTTTTCTTCTATTCTTATTCCTAAACTCTCTTTTTTTATTCCTCATTCAATCACACTGATTAACCAAACCATTAGACCTTTTCATGGGCCGGTCTCAGGTTGAGCTTTTGCCAATATTTGCATGTGCCCAGCTCAAAGCCCAAGCCCCAAAGCAGTGAAAATGTTCAAGGACCAAGCCCAACACCCAGCCCATGAACAGGTCTATTAACCATACTAGTACTCGTTTTTTCAAATTCAAGCAAAAGATATGGATACAAGCATCCTGCTTTGTATCTATGCTTTCCTTCTGGATCACTACTTTATTTTACAACACTAGCGCTACATTTTGTGAAATTTCAACAACACAGTCAAGTTTGTGAGAAAAAAATAATAATAATCCATTAACTGGTGGAAATTGAAGAGAACTCAAAACAGGTGGTAGGATAGCTGAACGAACCAGAGTATATTTTGGTCCTTTTGGGGAGTAAGGATTAGCTGAACGCATTGGCTGTTCAGCAGGCTGTGGAAACAATGATAAAGTTCCACGTCAGTAATAAAATACATGGGACCCGCAGCTTTTATAGTGGAGCCCATGAATTTATTACATGTAACCTTATCATTGGTTCCACAGCCTGCTGAACAGCCACCACATTCAGCTAATCCAAATTCCCTTTTGGGATGAGATGAAGGAATTTAAATGGTTTACCAAAAACATGAATCTGAGGATACATTGGTGAGGAGATTGGCAAATGGGAGAGCGGATGCTTTAGCTAAGCAAGGGATGACCAGAAATCAGCTGTATTGGACTCGGGTAACATGTAATTTCCCATTATTTTATGAAGAGATGTAGCATCTCGTGCCTCTCTATGGGATGCTAGTACTGCTTATATTTGATGTTTTAACAAAATTTCACTTTACTTGTCAAATAACTTGGATAAATTCTTGTGCCTTCCAGAATTTTATCCATAATTATACCTTAGTAGCAGAAGGATATTTTATATTTTCTTTTTAATTTCTCTATGCAATTAGCATCATCAAGTCCTCTTAATTCATCATCAACATCATCCAAGGCTTATCCCAAGTTTCCCAACTATATGGGGTCAGCTACATGAAGTCCAAGTCCGCTAAATTAAACAAAGCAAAATATAAAAGTCAAAAGTTAACCATTACCCCTTTCACATGCACTATCAGAGCACTCATATATGAACTCAATATGAAGTCATGCACATCAAAATGCCTCTCAGTAGTTTGTACATACCTCAAAACAACCAAACAAGTTATGTGAGAACCATCAAGAATAAAAGCTGAATTCTATTTCTATATTGAAATAATCCAACCACCACATTCTAATATAAAGCTTAGAAAGATTGAAAGAGAACAAGAAGACAAATACCACCACCACAACCATCTGCCTAATTCTCCTTGCATAACTGAACCTTTTCCCCCTTCCCATTATAAGATTTCAATGCCTTTTTGTTTTCCTTTTGCTAACAATAAGCCAAATCTTTTTTACCTATCCGAATTAAGGTTATATTTAGTAGTCTTATTGTTCTTTAGAACTCTTAATTGGTTACAGTCACTTCCTCTTCATAACGCATTCACTGTCCTAATTTAACATGGCCCAACCATCTCAGTCCACGATCACTTATCTCATTTCCAAATCTTACCACCTAAGTTCCTAGGACACACTTATTTCCAAGTTCATTCTAACTCATGTTACAACCACATATCCTCTGGAATCCATTTTACAGATGTAATGTTTCTTGATTTCATAAAATTCAGACCCTCAAGCACAGCTAGTGTCATAGCCATCCAATAAAACCAACCCTTCTTTATAGGGGTGAAACTTGGGTGGACTCAGGTTGAGCATTTGTTAAACTTTGTAAGGACCTGACTGGGCTAGATGCAGTGAAAAATCTTCAAATCATGTACCAGAGTTACACCCCTACTTTACTGGTATGCAGCAGTCACATAATGTTTCAAAGAACCTATATATGCTATCCACCTAGCCCTGGCTTTAGTGGGTGGCTTTTCTTGATAGTATACAAAGATAAATTTTCATTAAAAAATCATACATGAGGTATATGAGCTTTGCAGCCCCAGCATCAAACACAAAGATCAACCACACCCAACAAATAAAAGCCCCAGAAGTGGGGCATCTTCAACCCCTCTCCTTGCAGGGGAAAAAAATAATCTCTTACCACCATTATTAACTAATTTCTACCTGGCACTTTTAAATATGCTGATCATTAAGAGTACAAGTTGGGTACCTGATTTGAAAATTTTCATTTCAAAATTTAACAAAATATCAATCTGAGCCAGCCCAAGTTGCATCCCTAGATTCACTACTGGTTATATACTTAGTTCGGCTTACTTTGAATTTTTTTTATTCAAAAACTTCACTCTATTGAAGTAAAAAAAGAATATACTAAGCATAAATAAGTGCACCAAGTATTAACAAAAATGTTGCTCAGCATTTGTCAATAAAAAGAGAAAAAAGTGTCCAGGTTTTCTTTACTCAAGGATGTCTTACATGCAGCACATACTGTTAGCAATCCAGAAAATCAAAATATTGATCAAAACCACCTGAGAAACAGAGACTAGAGACAACCTCAAAACTGGGGTGCTGGGCACATTGTATATATTTATCAGCATGAATATGGTAAACTCTTTCAATTAGTACACCAAATAACACCCTACCCCAGCAAAACTTATGTAGATTTTAGTAGAAAACTATTCCATTCCCATTAACAATTTTTCTACTTGCTTTTGGTCAATCAGTATATGTCTTAACGCACAAATGATAATGCCAAATATCAGTAAAAAATGCTATAGAATTGTCCCATAAATTATAAGAACTGACCTCTTTTTTTTCATCTTCATCATCACCTTCAGTTTTCTTTGGCAAAGGAATCTCTGATATAGAAGTGGGCAAAGGTCTTGGAAGTAGTTTTACCCCCTCCCCAAACTGTGGCTGCCAAAAACAAATCCAAAGATGTTAAAACAAGAACTCTTAGCACGTTACTTTGGGCTTAGGGTGGGTGTGGAAAGGATGCTACAACAATAATGACAGGATAGAGCCAGAGGACTATGTATAAACTTTTTCTTGTTTAAGCATGTTCCAATCACTTCAACTCTAGGATATATGTATGTATGCATTTAGGATAATATGTATACAATTATGCATAGAGGTTTTATGCACACAGATTCGGAAATTATGGTATAACATGCAATCTAAAGATAGAAGACCATGGTCAAAATGTATAATTGACAAGAAAACAAAAGAATTTCGGAAGCTCCACTGTGCATTGCCAAGAAGGCATGTTTACAGACATCAACTGCTGATAAAGATGTCAATTGTCAATAGGACAGGCTAAGTGGATAACATGCCTCATCCAACAACTATCAGAACAGGATTTGGGTGAAATATCAACCCACCCCCTAATGACAACTGGATACCCATAGAAGGATGCCACATCATGTCAGGAATTGGTTTTCAAGGCACCAAGGCGAAGCTATGTGAAAAGGGAGTGTCTTATCGCCTAGTCACCTAGGCAATGAGTTTTTTAGATTAAAAAATATAAATCCTATATTAGTTCCTTAGATTTCATAGTAAGAAGCAGTAATCTTTAACTAATAATTACCATAATCCTCATGAAATAAGTATAAACCCCATATCAAAAGATAGAAAATCAACATATTTATGAGAAGAAAAATAAGAAAGGAAAGAAAGCATACAAAACAAAGGGCTAAGCCCTTGTTTTGGTCCTAGGCAGAAGAAGACGATGATGAAGAAAAAGTCCTATTGATTGTTCGTGTGTCAATAGGATAAAATCTTCAAGTTATTTCTTACTTGTGAATTTAGGCTTTAAAGTCTTAAAGGGTTCAAGATTATGTCATTGACTTGTGTGTCGATTGAACAGAAAAATATTAAAAAGAAACTAGTACAAGAATAATAATATCATTATCATAAACCCACAATATGAATAATTTAGTCTAGTAATATCTATTGTACTACTGCTAATAACATAAATAAAGATATAAAAAAATATGTGGTGTCTTGCATATAAATATGCAAATGTTTAGGCCAGGCGACCCTCAAAGAGCACCTTATTGCCTAGGTGTCACCTTGGCAACTTTGATGCCAGATCAACTTTTAGTGTAAATTCCATAATCTGATATCATGTCCAACCATGCACTTGCCATATCCAGGTAGCATAGTCCACCGCAAGTTCAGATCGGGTTCAGGTTATGGTGTATGTCATTCCTAGAATACCATAGCATAAGCATTTAAGTCTTTTTATCCTTTTCTTGACCCACCCCTACTTCATGCCCTGACAAAAACCTGGCCTGCTCTGTTAACAAGGCAAGGCAGGTTCAAATAGGATATGACTGCAAAGGTGTGGTAGTATCAGTTTTCTTCACTATTTCAACATGAAATAGAAAGCAACATGGTGGAATGTTCAATTCCAGAAAAAGAAAACATACCAACATGAAATGTTCAGCCCAGAGAAGGCACATAAAAGCTGCCTCAGACTATGTAACAGTATATATCAATTTCCAAAAGTGACATAAGGTCATGAAACAACAGTGCAACTACAGAGCTTTTTACAAGTAGCATACTCAAATTGATAAAAGCCAGAGATATATGATACTCTATATCAAATAGTGTAGAGCATGTCAAATTTTGATTCTGAGGTAGGCTTCAACATTCTGTGAAACCAAAACATTTCTCAAAATTCCATGGAGATTGTAACATTCCAAGGTACGTTTTAACATTTTTAGCACTTTTATTATCTTTGAAAATTTGCACCATGCTTAATTTGTTATCAAATTTTATCAAGATTGTTATGGGCGTGGTAGCTAATGGCAAGCCCAAGGAGTTTTCTACATTTCACCTAGCAAAGGAACTTAGAAGACATAGAAGTTGTCCATAATGGCAGCTCCTGCTGCTGCCCAAGAGGGCTTCACATATTTATTGACAAAGGTGAAAGGTCTATAGCACTATGCCAAAAAATAGTATCCAAGTATTCAAATATTTGAAACTTCAATGACTAGTATTATTGAGGAAAAAGATCAATTACAAAATTGGGTATAGAGTTAATATGGAGTGAGGAGGTGAGCCATGTTTTAATGATTTAATGATTTATGATATGATTCATAATTCAAAATGGACATCCTAAGGAGTCCAAAATAAGTCTCGCCATCGAACCTTTTTTCTTAAAAATTAATCAATTATTGTCCAAATCCTACTACAATTTGGTCCTTGAATCTTTAAAACTTATCCAAATGTGATTCAAATCGCCTTGATTCGGCACAAACTATGCACCTTGTGAAGCCCATAGGTTCTGCAAACCTGGCAGATAGGCAACAACAGTGTTCAGGCTCCCAAAAGTCTATGGAAAAACGGAGAAAGGGGAAAAGATGGAGAAATATACCGAGTGACCAGACCCTTGGAGGGGCTGCACTACACCCTCCAGAGAGGGATCAGGCCACCAATAGTTCCTCTAACAATGGAGAAAGAGGGAGGGAGAGAATCTGTGTGAGAGAGAGAGGGTTAGATAGAAAATGAGTCAGGTCTTGGGTCTTGGATCCCCTTTTGCAGACATGGGTCTCCACTTACATATCTTTTCTCCCTTTAAGAAATTATTCTGGAATCTTCTAATAATTTTGCCAAATCATCATGGATGGCTAACTGTAGTCATATGCATGATTACCTGGGTTGATTATTAGACTGGACCAGTCGGATGGATTAAGCCAAGGTTATGCCGGGTCAAATATCTATGCTCTTACACCTTGTCATTTCTTTTTTGTTTCAAGGATCTTTGTGTTGAATCCCTTACTGGACCAAAATTTTACTTGGGTTGCCTAAACCCTACTTCATGATCTCTTTTAATATTTTCATCAATATACAAGTAATCCATGATACCTAGATACATGTACAAGGATGACATATCATGTCTTCATATCAGATACTTCAATTTTTAGTAAAAAGTCCATACTTGACACGAAAACAGAGGGTCCGGAATGACCATACCATTGCTCAATGTTGTTCAAATAGAGGTAAATCTAGAGAATAACTGCACATGACCCAATTTGAAACCTTTTATGCATCATGCATATATATTGGAGATAGACCAACAGACAGAATGAGTGAACAAAAGTGAGAAAGAGTAAGAAAGAGAAATAACTAGGGATGTCAACTGGCCAGTAACTCCAACCCTAACCCAAACTGACCCAACTAAACAAAGATGGGACACCAAACCCAACCTGGTCCATCACACATATAGTACTTCTATACTCAGCCAAAGCTATATATGCAAGTGTTTCAATGCTGCAACGTCAATAGCTCGGGCTCAGTACAGGTTTGCCCCAACCTGAAACCAAGCTGAAACCTGATTAAAGCTGACCTGACCCTGACCCGATAAGGTCGTCTCAATGCAAAATTAACACTTAACCAGACCCAGTAACATCCCTAGAGATAACATCATGATGTCACACCCCCATGCTACATAACAAATTTCACATGGCAACAAAAAAGGCACCCATCACCTCATAGAAGATCAAAATGAGCAAACCTGACTTTCTTGAGGCAAACCATTCCGCACCCATGATCGACAAAGTGCATAAAGAGAAGCACCATCCGATAATCTGACCTATAAATGGACAAGAAATGTAAATAACATTTTTTTTTGATAAGTAAAATAGAAAGGTAAATAACATTTGAGGAGGTAATTTGACAAACATAAATCAACAGTACATTTTTTTCATAAAACATTGAAGCAATATCTAGATCAATTTCCCAAAAAGAGTAATACCTCAAAACATACAAGTTGCTGATTTAAAAAAAAAAAAAAAAGAAACTGAAAATGTTGGAAGTAAATGCAACAAATCGAATTAGTATGTAACTTGATCTGGCTCATGGCCAGAATAACCCAGCTGAAGTTCCAAACAGGTTGGGGCAAGATTTTATCTTTCTGCCTATGATGCCAAGATATGGATATGGACAGGGATACAAATACATAAAACAGGAAGAAGTGTCCCCTCAATGCAGTTAAAAATAAAGAGGGATCAAGAGGCTCATCTACAAAGGCTAGGTGAAGGAGCAAGGATCCTGGGTGATCAACACTACATTAAATCTGTAATTTTTTCCATCTGAACATTAAATCCATTGGAAAGTTGCTCCAGCGCTGATTGATAGTTATTAGATCCGGGCTTTGGGAGTCATTTTCCTTGAGTAAACAGGTTGAAATTGATTGATTTTTGGAATGTGCTTTTCACATACAATTGAGTTTTGACTTGTAGAGGACCTAGAGGCTCTAATAGAATTGAGGTTAGCAGGTGTTGCACTATCTTTGCTGCCACTCTTGCTCTTTATTTCTTAGCTTTGGTCTTTCTATGAGTATTTCTTAGCATTTGTCTTGTCAACATTGTTTGCTGACCCGCAATGGTGATTAGGGCAAAGAAGTAAATCAGGCCCAAGGCCTAACACTACAACACAACTAATAACATAAAGACACAAAAGGCCTACAACTTAATCACCAATTACAACACTCCCCCTCCAGCTGAGCATAGATATCCATTGTGCCCAGCTTGCCAAGTATACCATGGAACTTCATAGAAGGGAGTCCTTTAGTTAAGATATCAACAAKTTGCATATCTGAGGGTGTGAAGGGAATGCATAGCTCACTAATGGCAATCCTCTCCCTTACAAAGTTTCTATCAATCTCAATATGCTTAACTGTCATGCTGTACCGGGTTATTAGCAATATTAATTGTTGCCTTGTTGTCATAGTATAGCTTGAGAGGAGAATCAAGCTTCACACCTAACTCACACAAAAGAGTCCTGAGCCACAATAGTTTTGCAACGCCATATTGTCACGGGGGTAGTTCTACAGCGGAAGAAACCCGTGCGGCATCCTGGCCAAGGCAGGCCAGGACAAGCCTTTCTGCGCTTAGAGGCTAGGAGTTGCCCGATGGGATGGCTCCACCAACGTCAATTCTCCCAAAAATCTTACCGGCGAAAATGACGGGCATGTCCCTAACGTAAGCCTACCAAGCGTAGGCAAGGCTAAGCCTGCTTTGAACCGTAACAATATGCCATGGCTCTATATTCAGCTTTTGCACTTGCTCTAGCAACCGCATTTTCCTTTTACTCCTCCAAGTGACCAAGTTTCCCCCAACAAATGTACAATATCCTGACATAGACTTTCTATCTCCAATAGACCTTATCCAATCAGCATCAATATAGGCTTCTATCTCAAATTTATTGTTCTTCTTGAATAAGATTCCTTTCCCTGTACAAGTTTCAGATACCTAAGGATCCTCTCAACAGCCTATGGGGAATCTTGGGAGCATGCATAAATTGACTTACCACATGCACAACATAGGCAATGTCTACTTGGGTAAGGGACAGGTAGATCAATTTTCCCACCAACTTTTGTACCTTTCCTTGTTTGTATAGTCCTCACCAACAAACTCCTGTCCAAGGTTCAAAATATCGTATCGGCCGATATGTATTGTATCGAGGCCTTCCCGATATGCCCCTACAGGGGTTGTATAAGGTCAGGCCATGGTTTAGAGGGTAGCCGGGACTTAAACCAACCCCTCTGAACTGGTTTTGAAAAAAAATAAATAAAATATAAAAAAGCACCGATACAGGCCAATACGCCCTACCAGCATATTGGCCTGTATCGATATTTAGAAACTTGCTCTTGTCACACATGATTCTGCTCTAGGTGTATCTACTGGTCTACACCCCACCATACCTGTCTACTCTATCATATGTATATTTCCTCATGTGACCTTGTAACTTCAATCCCAAGGAAGTACCTCAAGTTGCCCAGTTCCTTAATCTCAAACTCAAATGCCAAGAACTTCTTTAGTCTTTTTATCTCTTCTAGATCATTCCTTGTGATCACCATATCATCCACATATACCATAAGTGTTGTGATCATATCATCCACCTTATGAACAAAGTATGGACAACCCCTCTGAATATAACCAACATTCTTTATGGCTCCACAAAGCCTCTGAAACCAAGCACAAGGAAGTTGCTTCAGTCCCTACAAGGCTTTTCTTAGTCTGCACACCTTCCCTTGAAAATCATAGCTAGGTGGGGGATTCATAAACACTTTCTCATGTAAATCTCCATTCAAAAATGCATTCTTCACATCTAATTGGTGCAGTTCCCATGAGAAATTTGTTGCTCAAGATGGTGTTAAGAGCTTAGCAACAGTGAAAATGTCTCCTTGTAGTTAATGTCCTCTTTCTTTTTTTTTCTTGATAAGTATTAATGCCCTCTTTTTGTGTAATCCCTTTTGCCACTAGCCTGGCCTTATACCTTTCTATTGAGCCATTTGCTTTATGTTTCACAATGAACACCCACAATATTCTTTCCTTTTGGTAGATCCACTAATTCCCAAGTCTTGCCCTTCACCAAGGCCCTCATTTCTTCATTCATTGTCTCTCCCCATTTGGGATAGGATACAGAACTTGGTGAGAACATGGACAAAAGAAAGAACAAACACAAAGGAGTAATAATGAGGAGATAAACAAGAATAAGAAACATATTTAGCAATGGGGTGTCAAGTAGTGCAAGAACGGACAAGTTTACAAAGAGCAATGGGAAGGTCCAAATCAGAAATACGTTTACTTGGATCCACTGTTACAGTTGATCAGAATCCGCTAGGTTGTTGTCACAAGCTGAAGGTTCCCCCTTTCTCTTCTTGTAGAAGGTCCTCAGCTCTTTCTGTTGTTCAAGATCARTATCACCAACATCAGCCCCAACTCTTGCATCCGGAACAACATCCAGAATAGTAGTAAAGTCAACCAAAGTCTCATCAGATTCACTTGGACAACTAGAACTAAGAGGATCAAGAGAAGAAGATGGAAGACTAGAAGCAAAGAACGGCACAAAGGGATGAGAGGAACAAACCTCTTACACCCTACTAGTCTCCCCTTGAAGAGGATTCTTGAGAGATTGGAAGGATTGAGACTCAAAGAAGACTACATCCTTGGTGACAAACTTTTTCTTAGTAGCAAGATCTTAACACTTATAGCACTTCTATGTAGGAAAATATCCTAGAAAGACACCACAAATAACCCTAAGATTCTTAACATGAACGAAACAGATACAACCAAAAATTCTAGGAGGAAGGGGAAATTCATCCTGAGTAGGACAAAGAATAGAATAGGGAGTTCTCAAGCCTAACACCATAGTTTTCAAGGCATCTAGGCGATTCTGGGTGACATTGGGGCGCCTAGTCGCCTAGGCGAGAAAAGTTTTATAATATAAAAAACTGACTTTTGGCTAGTTTCGTAGTTTTATATACCATTCAGCATGTATGTTAATTGAAAAAATAGCAATTCTCTTTATTAAGAACATTAAATTTCCTCTAAAAATGTGGCAAATCATCACATCTAAAAGATAAAAATCTTTTACATGTATTAATTTCATTATTTTCAAAAAAAAATACTACTATAATAAGTATTTAATAGAGCAAATCCATATTAATTAGCAGCTAAAGAAGGTTATTAACTTTATATGATAAATATTCAAGATAGAAAGTAAAATAGAAAAAAAAACAAGGATGGAGTTTCTGTTTTATTTAATTAGAGAGAGAATAGAAAAAAAGAACTTTATTATTCTATTCTTTCTTTCCTCTTTCTTTTCTTTCTTTCCTTTTCTTTTTCTCTCCTCAAAACCCTTTGATCTTTTAAATTTCAATAGTAAAACATTAAAATAAAGTATAATTGATATATATAGCAAATAATAAAATGTAGTAACACATACATTAATAAGATACATCAATATAAATGACATTATAAAAGGCGCCTACCTTGTCATTTTTGTCGCCTAGGCGGGCGCCTAGTCGCCTAGAAGGGTGCCTAGTTGCTAAAAGTCAAGACATTTGGGCGAGGCGCCCAGCCAAGGGTGCCTAGGCGACGCCTTGACAACTATGCCTAACACCATAGATGGCATCCAATTTATCAAATATGAGGTTGTTAGAATTGCTTGTGATCAATAATTCTTGGGTATCTTGTGCTGAAAAAGTAAGGCTGAAGCCATCTCTAATTAAGTGTTTGTTCTTGCACTCAACTACTTACAAAAATAATTATTGGGGAGTGCTAGCACAAGATGATTGGTGCAAAACACCTTCTTCCTCCATAAACACACTCAAGGAGCTTTCAAAATACTCAATAGCATTATCTAAGAAAAACTGCTTAATCTTTTTGCCCAAACTGTGTCTCAATCATTTTGTAGAATATCACAATTATTCATGGTACTTCATTACGGCCTTTTAACAAGTAGATCCACGTGCATCTGAAACAGTGATCTATGAAGCTGATAAAATATCAAAAGCCATCAATAGAAACAAGGGGTGGGGGCCCCAAACATCAAAATTTACCAAATCAAAAGGAGCATGAATTTCATTACTTGAGATTAGATAAATGTTTCTACATTGCTTTGACATTTGACAGACTTCACAAACAAAACTCTGACTTGAAACAAACAAACAACTCAGGAAACAATTCTTTCATCAAAGACAAAGACATATGACCTAACCTAGCATGCCACAAATGTAACCTAACTATAACTCCTCGTTATCACAACCAGTGAAAGGAGATGAAAGCATGGATAAATTATGTCTTCATCAAAATAGTAAAAGCCTCCAAACTCATGGCCGCTCCCTTCAAGCTCGACCACCACAATCAATTGGTCTGTGGTGGTAGAGAGAAAGCCAAGAGACCCTACAAGCTTGAAAATGCATGGTTTCAAGATGAAGGTTTCATCCCTATGTTGAAATCTGTTTGGTGTGATGTGCATATGGATGTTACTAGCTCCTTTGTTCTTGCAAGGAAATTGGCAACAGTCAAGGAAAGGGCCAAGATTTGAGAGGTGGATAACAGTTTAACCTTGAGAACTGAAAAAAGAGATTGCCTCAATACAATAGAAGAGATTGACAGGGCTGAAGAAGTAGGGCCACTTACGGAGGCCCTTAGGTAGAAAAGAAGTCAAGCAAAGTTGATTTATGATAAACTGGTAGTGAAAGATGAAATTAAATGGAGGCAGAGAACTAAAATTACATGGCTGCAGTCAGGGGACAGGAATACTCATTTTTTTCATAAAATGGCAAATGCTCGGTACAGGTCTTCTACAATAAGTAAGCTGGAATGTGATGGAAAATTGGGAGATTCGATCACTGAAATTAAACAGATTACTACAAGTTTCTACAGGAGGTTTTATAAAGAAAACTGGTCTAGAAGACCTCTTCCATCAAATCTTCCCTTCAAACATTTAAGTGATGCCCAAAAGCAGTGGCTTGAGAGACCCTTCACAGAGGAGGAAATTAAGGCTGCAATTTGCATGTTGGAGAGTGAGAAATCTCTGGGACCTGATGGGCTGACCAGTCTCTTCTACACTAGATGCTAGGAGTTTGTTAAGCAAGATGTGGTGAGTTGTTGTGCTGCTGAAATGATCAAGGTCTAAAGAAGAAAAGGAAAGCTTGTGTGGAAATCTGTCCCTGCCGCTGTTCTTTGGTCTACCTGGACTGAAAGAAACAATAGAATCTTCTATAACAAAGTGAAGAACTCAAAGGACCTTATACACTCTGTGGTTTGCAAATTGATTTCTTGAGTCTCTGTGAAGGCTGATTTCAAAAATCTGAATGTAACCGAGTTGTTAAGATCCCATTCCATTTGGAGTCTGTAAGCTGTTCAGCTTTCCTGGCCAATCTCAGTGTGGTTAGGGAGTTGTTGTACTATTTGTTTGACGATTTTAATAAAGCCTTATCTTACCTTTCAAAAAAAAACACATGACCGCTCCCAATCTTCTCCTTGTCAATCTGTCCTAAAAAACATAATGAGTAGGAAAGAAAGTTATACTGCAATTCAAATTCTTAGTAATCTTAGAGACAGACACCACATTTGAAGCAAAGTTAAGAACATGAACAAAATTAAGGGAGAGATCCTTACTGAGGTTTACCTCCACCTTCCCATAAATAGTGGAAAGGGAACCATCAGTTACTCTCACCTTATCTTGGCCAAACAACAAATGATAGGATGCAAACAAAGAGGGCATATGTTCCATATGGTCAGTGGCTCCTGAATCAATAATCCAAGAGCCAGAATGTAAAAGACTAAGACACTATGAGCAAAGACAATACCTATTTTAGAAAGGGAAGAGGATGCAAGGGGGTTGTTCCTCAACCGAGCCATGGCTTGACTAAGGATTTCTACCTCATCAACTGTAAAATCCAAAAAAGAAAAGAAACCTAAGGCAGAAGAATTAGTTGTTTGTCCCATCACAAAAGGAGCAACTAAAGATGTATTCTTTTGAATCTCTACACTGCTATCCATTGCCACATTTCCACTCGATGTATGACCCTTCTGAGGCTTCTTATCCTTCCTTAATGCAACTGATTTCAAATGGACATAAAGAATCCGACATATCTCCTTGGTGTGTCTCTCACCTCCACAATGTGTACATTTATGGTTCTTCTTATCAATACTCTTTCCCTCTTTTGGCCAGAAGAAATTAAAGCAGAATGCTCAACAGGCTGCTACACTTGTGTATCAACTTGCATCTCCTTCTTCTTACCTCTCCATTCCTTATGAGGTAATAAACATGTTGTAAATCTAAAAGTTCATCCGTCCCCAATATTTGTGGCCTTATACCTTCATATATAGGGTCCATCCCAACTAGGAACTTAAATGCCCTACCTTCCTCAATCTATTTGTCATGTTTCTCCTTGTCCTTCGTGTTTTCCCAGTCAATTATTAGATGATGATCTAATTCCTCCCACAATCCCTCCATAGTAGCAAAGCATGTAGCCACCAACATGTCTCCTTGCTTTAGGGAAGCAATATCTTGGATCAATCTGTAGATTCTAGCATTGTTCTTCCATTGCCCGCAAGTCTTAGAGACTTTTTCCCAAATCTCAAAGGCTGTAGGAAAGTGTTGGACAGTCATTGCAACCCTTGGAGTCATTGAAGCAAGTATCCAAGGCATGACAGTTGCATTTTGCTTACACCAGGTTGAATACTTGAATACTCAGCATCTTCTTCCTTAGGTTCCTTTTTTTCCCATTAATATACCCCATAAGATCATGAAAGGTAATGAACAATTTGGCTAAAACTGCCCATTCATTGAAATTATACTCATCTAGTAACACAGTAACACACTGATTATCTGTAGGCTACGCAGATTGGGATTGTCAAAGTTAGGAGTCCTCCCAACAGGTTGGTAATCTCTAGAGGATACTTCACCCAAGACTGATGACATTATTTTCCCTCTACCAGCTTATCTATTGTTTCCGTAACACCAAAAAGCAACCTGTACTCAGTTGTAACTGAAGTTCGAAGCAAGAAAGAAGGATCCAGCAACAAGTCTCCAGCTGTAACACAGTCCTCAACTCACTTGTACCTTCCAGACACTTGAGGAAAAACATCCCACTGATTTTTTATGGTAAAAATAAAATTTCATTAATATAAAAAAGGCATACAACCTAGCAGGTGATAAGGTATCCCACTGTGATCACCAGAAATCTTGTATCAGGTCAAATCTAGGACCATTAAGTCTTCCTTCTAGATCTGGTCTAAACAGATCTCTCTAGTAGTGAAATGGCTACTGACTGTTACAGAGAACTAGTAGGGCATCAACTGGGCTAAAACTCTCCCCTTTGGTCCCTACACCCAAAGAGAAACCCTAGATACAGGTACTCTTGTGTGAACCGATCAGAACTAGGGTTCCTTAATCAGTAACTAAAAAAGAAAAGGAAGAAGATAGAAGAAAGGAGAAGAAGAAGAACTAGGGCGAACAGAAATCAGGTCGCCACAGCTGACAGCTCTGATACCATGCTTGCTGACCTGCAATAGTGATTAGGGCAAAGAAGAGAGAAAACAGAAAAGAAAGAAGAGTCATGGGCGGAAAGACTGTACTCAGCAAGCCCTAATGTGTAATTTTTATTAGTGAGGGCCATATAAGCACAAATAAAAATAACTAAATCAGGCATATTAACTTTAGACCCAATACTGCAACATAACTAATGACATAAAGACACAACAGGCCCACAACTTTACCACTCATTACAACAAACATATCTGTTGTTATCTATCAAAAAAGTAACTCTATAGTATATACTGAAAAAAATCATTAAAAACATAGAATTTTTAGTAGAACTTGGACATATGAAACCACATTAGTGTAACTCAAGGGGCGTTTGATAAAACAGATGAAGTGGTCAACTTGAATGATGAATGATTTATAAGTTATTAAGTAGGTTCGCCTTAATGACTGAAGCTGAAGTTGGGTTGATTACTATACCCTCAAATATTTAATTTATTTGATTATTTTACCCACTAAAAGAAACAATTAGTCATTCAGTTCAGCCACTTCAGCCATTACAAAACAGCTCTTCACTCTTTAAGTTATTTATAATTTTATGTTCCAGCTGTTAATATTAGTTGGGATCAGGCATGAATGATGACGCTGATGATCTGATAATATTGAAAATTGGTAATAAACAAATTTTGCACAAATGGGCATACCCCCCCCNCCCCGTGGCAATATAAGGCTGTCTGAGGTCACTCACAATCTTCTGGGCAGCAAGATGTCAACAATTACAGATAAAAGCATGAGAATAAAGTTGCCATGATAAAATCACTTGCAAATTCTACTTAACAATATTAAAAATGTCTCAGACTTGCAGTTGACCCCAAGTAATTGTAAATAATACAATAAATAGATAGACATTTTAAGAATAATAAGGCATTTTTTAAGATATCAAAGCTTATTACATGTACATTGTAATCGCATGCATAAAACATATCCACAGTCAAACAAATACAAGAATAATAAAATATTTTACTTACTTTTCGATCATGAATTGTCACAACTGTATCATCTCTACTTCTATCCCTGCAAACAGGAAAAAATTACTACTCACATACAATCAGGTAAGTTAAAGATGAGATTTAGATAAAATTACCTTAACTCTTTATAGCCATTAAAATCAGATGTTGAAGATGGGAATTGAGCAGCCTAAAAGAAAAGGCAACACAAAAACCAATTAAATGCACTCTAAAAGCAAACTATAGAAAGTAATTGGAGATACAATAGTGACATAAAGAGATGATAATGGTGATGGAAAACAAATAGCCCAAAGGAGAAAGGCATTATCAAGAGCCATAGTTCACATAGGCAATAGGAAGCATGTTAAGTTTTGTGACAATCGGTAGGGAATGTATGATCTGGTTATGCAGATGTGAAAAAAGGGAAAGAAACCATAAAAGAAGAAATCAGAATTTTCAAATTCCAACACCAGTGGTAATTTCATAGTTTATAGGTCATTGATCTATTTGAGTGTTCTAGAAGTTGTTTTCTAATTTGTTTGTGTCTCACTAACAGGGTAAATCATCTTAGAAAAGTTTAAAGTATTTTTCTAGAGAGCTTTTAGAATTTTGAAAAGATAAATTTGTGATCACATACTTTTTTAACCTATGATACCCAGATAAAATACCAAATGCTGCAAAGATACTTCTAGAAGTACTTTATAACATTAAGCTTTTCAAATATGTGAAGTGATGTCTTCTAACAAATTATACTATAAAAATATTTGCACATGTAGAAACTTAATTAAATTTTGCAAGACATAAGCATTGAGAAGTAATTATTTAAAAATGAAAGTAAATGTCTGAAGGTGATCATGAGAAATGACATTTAGCTTAAAAACTAGCTACAAAACATGATATAAGCATATGAAATGGGATACCTGCATCCGTATCTGTGCCCATAATATTAGGAAATGAGAGTTGTATCCCCATTTAACGCATCTCTGTCTATGTCTGTGCCCACATCCAGGCATCATTGTCCTTCATCCCACAAAACCCACTACCAAATCTGAAAGTTACAGAACCCCCTACCAATGGATGTGCTTTGTAGGGAAAAAGGCATTGATGAATGCTTTGTTCTGCTAAAAACTCTAGTGGACACTGAGAATGCAATTGATTCATTAAGAAAGGGAGATTTCATCAGTCCAGTTGAAGAAAGCTCTAAAGGCTTTTTCCTTGGATATTTCTTTCTACAATATCTTGGATGGAGCTCTGGCTGTTTCATTTCATGCTAGAAAGAACTGACAGAATCTAGTTCTTCCCAGTATAAAGACTTTATTCAGTTGCTCTTGGCAGAAATCTACCAGTTGATCAATGAACGAAGTGGGGTACTCCAATGGGAAATACATGGAGTAGGTTTTTGAACAATGAAGACAATGGTAAGCATTTCTTTCTCCAAAATACAATGTCAAGCAACATTTGGAGCTTCTTCCTTTCTTACCTAAAAGCAAGAAACCGTACAACTAGGAAGTCTAGGATCAAAAAAGAACATTTTGTAGTAAGTAGGAACCTAGAAGTAGTCCGGTGATTAAATAAGAGAAGGTAAACTAAAATGGTTTGGTCATGTGGAGAGAAGACTGAAGACCATCTACAGCACCAATGGAAGAAAGTAATTTGTTGCAAGTTGAAGGGTCTAGAAGAGCTAGGGGCAGGACAAAAGGACACGGGTTCAAGTAGCAAGATATGATTTGAAGGCCTATAACTTGACAATAGATATAACACTAAAAAAGTGGAATGGTGGAACAGGATTCATGTAACCACCAACATATAGTTGGGACAAGGCTTAGTTGAGTACTTGACTTGACTTGACTTGACTTGCCATGAAAGAGCCCCTTCCTATGAATCAGCTGCTCTGTCCAAACAGGGTATCTAGTTTCTCGGTCAGGTTCAGCATTTCATCTAGCTATTGCTAGATCACCAACTTTAATCAACTATTTAAAGATGAACTTTAATCATGTTTTTTTTTATAAGTATGAACTTTAATCATGTACTAATGCCACTAAAAGCTCTACATGAGAAATTAAATTCAGTGAACTGCACTTATTTGACATGTGGTGAAAATAATAGAAGGGGAGACAAGATAAATTCATTCAGATCATTATTTTTTTCCAACAGGCATGATCACTCCCAATGGAGATGCTTTTGTGATATTAATGCAAATTTCCTTTCATGTCGGAAATAGAGGAGGCACTAATCCAAGAAGATGTGTGATTTTGTCTCGTCCATTATTAAATAAGGATTAGCGGCTATTAGATAACAGCTTAAATGGGTGAACCCTGAATCAATAGTTTATTGCTTTATCTTTTAGTGAATAAGTTATTAAGGAGGCTGTGAGCTCCTTAATGGCTAAAACTGAAGTTCAGATGATTACTATACCTTTGAATATTTTACTATTAAATTATTTTATTCAGTACAGACAAAGCAATAGGTATTTTACTTCAACCATTTAACAAAGGACCCTTAGATTGTGATAAGGATTTGCAATTTCATATTCCTGAGATCTCCCATCTGCTTTTTTTATGGGTAACAGTTAAATTTTATTGACAATAAGTAAAAGAATTGTTATGCACAAAGTGTTAAGCACCCCATGGTATAAGCTAGCATAAACTTCCTGATCCCTTCCTCTTTTAATGATACAAGTTACTGTCTTACAAATATCCCCACCTCCCTTTACCCCTTGTTTAGTTAATGTATCAGCAAGAATTTTCCAATCTTTTGACCCATGAATAAGTAATTGTGAGATCCTTTTTCAGCTAAGATCTCCTGTCTGTCATAAGTGATAATCCACAATAAAGTTTTAAGAGAGTAATTCCTATCAGGACGGTACATAGAATACAAACTAGGGAGTTAATACTTAAAGATACATAGATTGATGATGTGGTTAGAGAATGGAGAAAAGTAGCTAGTTCTTCAGTAGACACAAGGATTGTTGCTGAGAGTTCACAACCTCACGATATGGGAGAAGTCAAGTTCAACTATGCCGGTTACTCTATTGGGAACCTGGGACAGTGAATTGGTAGAGCCAGTTAGAGGATATAGTGGGCTACCAGTGTTTTGTATCCAGTAGGCTCAGGAAACTATTTCTGAGCTGAGATTGGCCCTTCTATAGGGTCTTAGATTGTTTCCCTCTTTTGGGGTTTGATAGAGGAGAGATAAAGGGGTATTCATAGGCTGTTAATGGAAGGATGCAAGAGTCAGAGGGCCTATGAATTCTGTGTCATCATATCTGAGAGGCTAGATCTTTGGCATCAAATGGGAACACTTCATTCAGATGAATCCAAGATCAATCTGATAGGTGGCCTTGCAGGTTACGGAGTGGAGAAGAGTTAGTTCTACGGGGGATCCATCCATCTCAGGGTAGTTTTTGCCAGTCAACAAATCTAACCATTTTTTGGTTTTCATATTGTCTAGCCTTTATGTAAGGTTTTACTTGCGTCTTTCCCCAATCCTGGGGTTTCATGTATCTTTGACACCACCCATAAGGTGATCTACATTTCATTTCTTTGTGGGCAATGCCTGTTTCCATAATACTACCTGAAGAAGTGAGGAATGATCTATTCCCCATTATGGTAGGGCCAAACCTGTAACTTAATGTTAGAGGTTCTGAATCTTCTGATGATCATCTGTAAGTAGATGATTTTAGATCCTAAATTCCTAATTAAACATATTTCAGTGCCAAGCATCCAATCATATTTACATATACATAATTCCATGATTCCTTGATGCTATAGAGTAGTGGAGCCTAATTGACTTTTCTCGGATGCAAAGTACACAGTTCATCCCAACAGAAAAATGAGAAAATTGACAGAATTTAACCACTTTAACATGCTTCTAGATGTTGTGAGATTGAAACCATCACTTTCCCACTTTTCAGGATTAAGAAAGTTGGTGTTTTCTTTCTATCCTATTCACCGGCATGCTTCTTTGTTACTAGTTCATATCAGATGAACTAACAACCTTCAAATTGTCTCATTTTAACACACAATTCCAATTAAAGAACCTGATAAAAAAACTAAAAACGAACAAAAAATTCAAAAGCACATAAACCCATGTTATTAGAAACCGCATAAAATAAATGAAATAAAAAAATTAAAAAAAAAAGGAGAACTGAAACATCCAACCCAAATCAATAATCTTCAAAAAGCAGACAGGATCGAACCTTTGGATGGACGACGAGGGGAATGCTCTTGATAGGAGGGCCTGAAACAGTGGCCCCTATGTGTCTGGGTCCAAGATGGGGCGGCTGCATGTGAGGCGGTCTCATCAGGTGAACCGCCTGAACTTGGGGGTCGCCGGGAGGGAAGGAAAAAGGCCGGACCTGGTTGGCGAACGCGACGACGGATCGAGGAGGGAAGCCACCGGGATTGGCGACGGTGACCAGCTGGTCGACTGGTTGGGGTCGAAAGGATTTGGGAATAAAACCTCGGCCGGAGGAGGCAACTGGGTAGAGGATTCCCTGGGGAGGAGGGACCGAAGGATCCTGGATCTTAGCCATCTGAGCGGGAGGGTTGGGGTTTGAAGTTTTACCGGCGATGACGGGAATGGGTTGGGCTGTGTATATGGGGGATGGGGAGGAAGGAGGGTGTGAAGTGGTTAATGGTCTGGAAGAAGAAGAATCTCGCGAGGATGGGTTTACGTAGGGAGGGTGATTGTGGGGGTCGGTGGAGGAGGATGAAGAGCCCATGGCCATGGCGGGGTTTATTTTTTTCAGTTTCTGTTTTTCTGCGTTGGATTTCCAAAATCTTCAACTTCTTCAAAAGTTCAAACGCCAACTCCTTTTATAAGAACTTCCACTCCACTTTGATTAAATTGCTATAATGCGCCTGCACTTTTTATTCTACTTTCTACATTTCGAATTTTTGAATTTTACAACCGTAGCCAAGCTCTGTCCGGATCTCCTGCACTTTTTCATACACTTTCTTTCACAGTTTTGAGTTTGTGACTGACGTCCGACGAGCGGAGTGTCCCGTTGATTCTCTAATTTTTCATACGCTTGTAGTTTTGTTCTCACTAGACCAGTTTATGGGCCGGGCTTTCATCCTTCATTATTTTTTTTAGGCCCGACTCCGAGTTCGGCAGGACCATCAGGCCTATAACTTGGGCCTGAGCCCAGTCCTCATAAAAAGCTTGAAGCCCGGGCTCAAGTCCCAGAACTGACTTGATAACAAGAAACAGAGGGAGAAAAAGAGAGGACCTAGTCGCTCGCAGGTTGCTGCTGCTAGCCTAGTCCATTGCCGCCTCGTTGGAGAATGTTCGTCGCCAATCCCCAACTCGCCGCTTTGCTAGCTTGCTATTACTTGAGTTCACTGGAGAAGGTAATGTCAAAAAACGGTTGCCGCCTGCCACTGCTAGCCTATACTCGACGGTCAACGCCAACTTGCCGAAGATCGCTGGTTATTTGGTGGCGTCGATGGTTCCTACTTGCTAGCTATCATTGGTTAAGCTAGAGAGTGAGAAGTGAGATCAACGAAAACTGAAAAGAGGGAAAGGGTTAGTTAGGTTGGGGTTTAGAAATTATAAAAAAAGATTATATATTTTATATTATGGAAAAAGTCGGGCTGGGCCGGCTCAAGCCAAGCTTTTTTGACAAATCCCGAACCCGGCCTGAAAAATAATCGAGTCGGGCTTTTAGGCCCGAGGTCAAGCCTGCGGGCTAAAAAACATGTCCAAGCCCATACGGGGACCGGGCCGGGTCGTCGAGCTCCCTGGCTCATGAACAGGTCTAGTTCTCACCCATTAGATTGGGACCCATCGTGTATGAAATTAGGGGTGTCAATCAACCGGTTTTGGATTGGGTCCAATTTGATCCAAACCTTATCAAATTGGATTTGGACAGTCCATTATAATTATTGGATTGGGCCAATCCAAAATAAATTGGTCCATATTCTTATTGGTCTAAATTGGACCTAAACCAAATTTCCAATAATCCGATCATGAGGCCAAACCCTTGTCCAATTTGAAACTAATCAAAATTGAAGCAGGCATAAAATCGCTTTTATTAGAAGTACTTTTATGAAAGCACTTTTACGAAAACACTTTTACAGAATTACTTTTATAAAAGTAATTTTATGAAAAGTACTTTTACAAAAATACTTTTACAAAAGAACTTTTACAAAAATACTTTTACAAAAGAACTTTTACAAAAATACTTTTACAAAAGAACTTTTACAAAAATACTTTTACGAAAGCACTTTTACAAAAGTACTTTTATGAAAGCACTTTTACAGAAACAATTTTATAAAAGCACTTTTACATGAAAGTACTTTTGTGAAATCACTTTTACAAAAGCACTTTTACGGAAGTACTTTTATAAAAGCACTTTTACGAAAGTACTTTTATAAAAGTACTTTTACTAAAGCACTTTTATGAAAATATTTTTATAAAAACACTTACGAAAACACTTTTATGGAAGTACTTTTATAAAAGCACTTTTATGAAAGAACTTTTATAAAAGTACTTTTATAAAATCTTTTACGAAAGCATTTTTACAAAACTTTTACGAAAATACTTATAAAAGCACTTCTATGAAAGTACCTTATAAAAGCACTTTTATAAAAGTACTTTACAAAAGCACTTATGTGAAAGTACTTTTATAAAAGCACTTCTACAAAAATATTTTTATAAAAGTACTTTATGAAAACACTTTTATGAAGTACTTTTATCAAAGTACTTTTATAAAAGCACTTTTACAAACGTGCTTTTTCAATGCCAAAAGGGTATATATTTTTTGTAATTTTTTTATCTTCTTCATTTTAATATATTTTTTGTAATTTTTTATATGTTGTGTTTTTTTATATTTCATTCAGTTTGGATTGGATCCAATCTAGTCTATTTACATTTTAATGGATTGGATTGGATTTGGTTTGTATTGGATTTGGACTAAATTGGGTTCAGTCCATTTGTAAGTGGAGTCACATTGGACTGGATTGAGTTGGACCAAATCCAGTCCAATTGACACCTCTATATGAGATGAAGAGGGGAAAACCTATAATGCGAGAAAGACATGGTATGAGAAGAGTTTTGATCAATCAAAACCCACCCATGAATTTTGATAAATAACCCTTGATTGGCTACCATGCTTATAATACGAGTTGATTGGTCAAAAATTTTTTAGATATTATATCTTTCTAATATCATAGTCGAACCCGATGAAGAGATGTTCAGTGTCTTACTTATCATGTTCGGACCCACTTAGGGCTGTCAACATGTGGGGTGTAAGTTGGGACAAGGTACAACCAAAACTGACCCAACAAAAAATAAGGAATCAGAACCAAACCAAACCCTTAGACCCATAACTGAGTCGATCGATTTTTGGGACAGTCAAGTCTGAATCGGTTTAGGAATAGGTAGAACCAGTTCCAAATTGATAATAATCAAGAAATGGTTTAGTTCCATCGAGTCCATTAGGTCAGACCCGACCAATTGGCAGCCCTAGACCCACCATGTATAAAATGTATAGTTTTCGATCAGCTACCAACACATTGTGCCAACAACATCCCAACCAGCCATTACAGGCTTACAACCATATATTGGGAACATCTCCTCATGAATGATAAGCACCATGTATGAGATGTGTGGTGTCTGATCATGTCCAAACCTACCATGTATGAAATGCACGGTTTGATGGTTTCTAATATGTTACCAATAAATGGTGCCAACAACAACCCAACCAGCCATTGCAGTTATACATCGGGAACATCTCCCCATAGAAACAAGGGAGATGCTCCCATTGTGAGGCTATAGTGGCTTGTTGGGACAAGGTTGGTAGTGTTTTCTTGGTAGCAAATCCCCACCCAAAATGTACAGTTTATGATCATGTTGGTAGGGTGTTGAAACGTGTTTTGTTGGGGTTGGATATATATGCTACCTACAAGTTATTCCCACATCACTACCACGAGACATTACAACTGCTATCAAGAAAATACGCTTCGACACCCTTCCAACATGATTTGACACCACACATCTCACCATGAGAGTGGGATCATGTTCCATCATCACACCATGTATGAGATGTGTAGTGTAGATCATACTAGAAAGGTGTTGGAACATATTTTATTGGCAGGAGATCCAAACTACTTATGAAGGCCTTGTTCTTTTGCTAAGAACGTATTTATTTAGGTAAATGAATTTACACTGTTATTTTGTCATGAAATACTAATTGAGTAAGTGAAACAATTCCTCAAAAGAGCCCCAATTTTTATGTGTTAATAGGAGCATTTTAGTTCCACAACAATTTGGCCAACTTCCCTCTCCATGGGAAACTGATTTAGCCATCTAGAAGGGAAAGAGTTACCTAGAAAATGTCCCAAAAATTTACCCAAGGAAAATTGGTGATAAAATTATAAAAATTGTATAATTAAGATGTGATTATTGAAAAAAAAGAGGTGTTGGTATAAAGAAAATAAATGAATTAAATCTAAGTTTTATAGTATGCAACATCCACTTTTGTTTTTATATGCATAAAATGGATTTAAAGTGGATTTACTATTAACTAATCTTTAGAATGTATGTATAATGAAACATGTCAAAATGAGCATTTGTGAGTATTATGCTTTTAAATTACAACTAAAGACTATAAAAGAATAGAAATTAATTTGAAATTGCCAATTATTTCATCAGTTTATGTACAAACATACATAAAAGAAAATATGTCAAATATTATTGCAAAACTTAAGATTTAAAAGATGCAAAAATTGCATGAGACACAACTGCATCATTTTATAGAATGATGTATAGTATTATCATCAAGTTTCATGGGAGGCCCATTACATTTGATATAAAATTATCAATATGCAAATACATATGGATATGACCACCTGATATCTTTTTACAACCATATGCATTCTAAAATGAAATGAAATAAAAAGATTTTTGACATGACCCCTAATAAGAAATAATGTGTGGGTGGAGACACCTTATGCATCTTCTATGAGAATGTTCATGACCTTTGTACCATGTGTGGGTGGAGAGGTCACAAGTACTATCAATGCAAATCCAAATCAAATGACATTGATGATGGTGGAACAGTGGTTAACAAGAAGAAAAAATTTGGAGGCTCCGAAGTTGACAAAAAACGACCTCCATTCCAGATGGAGAGATCTCAGCCATCTCAAGGCCACATGAAGACTACCAACTGGGTTCGAGTTAAAACTTAAAGATAGGAGAGGGATAAAGGATAGTACCTTATCCGGTTCATTAATCCAGTTCATGCTACAATCCTCCCAAATTGTGAGACCCAACAGAAATGGTTGTGGGTAGGGCTGTTCATAAGAAGACCCAACCTGACCAAACCGACCAACCCGAACCGACCCAACCCGAGTCGGCCGGGTTTTCTTCAATATCGGTCGGTTTCGGGTTGTAAAAAATTATAAACCGATGGTTCGGGTTGGTTTCGATTTTCATGTGCAAAAACCGAAACCGACCCGAACCGAACCGACTTAGTAGTTAGTAGTTAGTTCATAGTTAGTAGTTACAACCTACTTAGTTCCTACTTAACTAAGTTGTCTCTATCATAATTACAACCTAACTTAATTTCTAGTCTTCTAGTTAGGAATGACATTAATGGCAAGTATTGTAAGACAACTAGACAAGGAATTTTTTTGGAAAAGTTTAAAGAAAATAATCAAAGGATCCTAGTTTCTATGGTATTTTACACCAAATAGGCAACCGATTACAATTATAATTAGGTGTCCTTTTTTAYTTAGATTAGAAGGTTTATTGAAATATACAAATTTCAGTCTTCTTTCTCTAATACAGTTTGACTTTCTATTTTCTTGATAACTTGTATTCTAACTTGGTCTGCCCCCCTTGGCCCCTCAACTCAAGCACAATCTCTAATACAATTTGACTCTCAAGCATGGTTGAACTTAGAGCCGAAACTGACCCAAACC